TTTGAATAATATTACGCAAAAAAACAAATCATAATATTTTTTTTGACAGGATACGGAGATATCTCTTGAACTATCAGCGTCCGGCTTGGAAACAAAGAACATTTTCAATTGTCGCGTCAGCATCAACTTAAAATCAACAAGATACGAGTATGTTACGTGGTTTCTCTAAACTAAAATTATGGTGGATGAAGTGCGCCTGCTTGTTAGTTCCCTTGTATACCTGCGCCTCTGCACGTAACTGTGGTTTCCGAAATCTCCACGGGCTTGTTACAACATAAACTAACAAGTTTCTTTTATCAGCTCCTGAACTACGAAGAGTTGAGTACATCACGTGCCCATTGCTTAATCGTCACAGATTTAGTGCCGCAAGTTTTGCGAACTCATTAGAACCACGGCTGCGCAGCTGAGCTGTAAAAGCTGAAGCTCTTATTGTAGAAGTTTGAAATTCCTTTATACGTGGCATAGCTGAGAGTTGTAGCAATTGGTCGAATAGTTGCATCCCTTTATAGCACTTAGGCAGGAATGTAGATATAATTGATATTGAACAATTCATCCGAATAACTGAAGCAACGTTCTTAGGGGACATATGCAGGACCGGCTTCAAAGTCATATGCACAATGAGCCAAATCTTAAAGTACGCGCCTTTCTCCCATATTAATTGAGAATTTTCCGCTTCCCATGACACTGCCTCACTTACTTACAGCCACTAGCCGGCTTCAAAAATGTTTATTTTATTTTTCAGGAAAAATTGTAAATGAACTACAATATTCATAACTATATCAATAAAAAACTACTTACAACGTTGAAATTTGGTTTCAGGATACGTAATCTCAAAAACAAAGGGAAAAACAGAAAACATAAAAGCAACAACTTCACGGGTGACAGTATATGAAAACTGGTCATTATTCAAATTCATTATTGTAGTTTTTAAAACGTATTCAAGTAAAATCCATACTAATCGACGGACCAAACATGGCGGTTATTCTGGCCTGCAGCAATGTGTTTTTCCAAAACGGTGGTAGAATTATTTAATCATGAAAAGGATATGAGAAAAGAAAACGGTATAAATGAGAAACATTGTTTTAGAAAGATGGGTTGTCCAATAGGGACGCAGGAAAGTAAACGTCAATTTGACATAGACGCCATCTTTGTTTTCTGTCACCGACATGTCATTTTGTTAGTTGAATGTTTACCATTGATCGCTATGGAGGCGTATTCGATTGAAGACCGCATTAAAGTTATTCAAGAGCACTACAAAAACGGTGCAAAAATAAAAAACACGTTTCGCGCGCTTAGTGAACATTTCGGTCGCAACAACCGCCCAAACGAAACAACCATCGGTCGTCTGGTGCGTAAATTCGAGGCAACAGGTTCTGTCGCAAATCTGCCAGGCTCTGGCCGGCCAAGGAGCGTTCGCACACCGAAAAATATTGCTGTTGTGAAGGAGAGTGTGAGAGACGATCCGAAACAATCAACAACGCGTCGATCCCAAGAATTGGGCATTTCGAGAACCAGTTTGCTCCGCATTCTCCACAAGGATTTGAATGTACACGCCTACAAGATTCAATTGACGCAAGAGCTGCGTCGAGCCGACCATTTTTCGCGCCGAACGTTCTTAGATTGGCTCCTTGAACACCGCCAAATTGATGGCAATTTTTCATCAAAAATCATGTTCAGCGACGAAGCGCATTTCACTTTGAATGGGACGGAAAACAAGCAAAACTGTCGCATCTGGGTGAACGAAAATTCCCGTGAGTATCAAGAGCAGCCGATGCATCCTCAAGAAGTGACTGTGTGGTGTGCATTGTGGTCAAAAGGCATCATCGGACCTTACTTTTTCGAAAATGCGGCCGGGTACGCTGTTACCGTCAATTCTGAGCGATATCACGTGATGATAGAGGACTATTTTTTGCCGCAACTTGAAGGAATGGATATGGATGATGTCTATTTCCAACAAGACGGTGCAACATGCCACACAACCACCTTCAATATCCATCGATTGCAGTCCTTCTTCGGTGATCGCGTGATTTCGCGCAGAGGAAATGTGCCATGGCCACCAAGATCGTGCGATTTGACTCCCTTGGACTTCTTTTTATGGGGATATTTGAAAAGCAAAGTCTACGTCAACAAACCAGCCACCCTCTAAGAACTCAAAAACAACATCATTGCCGAGATAAATGCCATGGAGCCGACCATGTTGCAAAATGTCATTGAAAATTTCGACCATCGCGTGGGCGTCTGTAAATCCAGTCGTGGTGTACATTTGAGCGATATTATTTTTCATACATAAATGGTATAAATGAACCTTCAAAATAAAGTACCCAACTTGATTTGAATATCAATCTTTCTTGTTTTAATATGCGTTTACTTTCCTGCGTCCGTTTTGGACAACCCCATATTTACTGAAACACACAATCATTCAAGGGTAATTTACTCAGATGGACAGAGGCTATTGAGACCAGGTGGTTGACTCAACCCAGCAAGAAGAAAATTACCCATATGGTTATTGTCTAACCATACTATGTCTTAACTGACGATAATATGGCATTCAAAAATCCAATCTTCGGAAAATTGTGAGTAAGTGGGACGTTTGGAAACAGTCCACTGGTATACCAGTAGCCTTGTGTGAAAATTTTATCAAAACCCGAGCGGTACGTTCCAAGTTATAGACGGAAATGAGTGACATGGCTGTTTGTGACATACATGTCATATAGCATCCAAAAAAAATATAATAACTAATTTTCAAAATTTTTAGTGGCTACAATACTTCCTCGCCAGTCAGTGTGGGAAGTGCCACCGTGAACACCTCGCGATTCAACATGCAGTGCAATATATCACCTAATCTATAAATTCACAGCCACTATATGGTTATTCGCGTGAATGTATTTTCTATGCAAGCCATAAAAGGGGAAAAGCGGCTTTCAACAACTTTTCTTAAAGTTCGCCGTCGATTTCGCGCTCGATTTCACACGCCAGCCGCATCTTCACAGATATTTTTAGAAATAGTCCGTCTTTTAATCTGGGATTTCAAAGGCGATTTCCTGTTGGCGAACCTTTCCCTAAGAGGAAATTAGAGAAGGAATGAAGAATGATGAAATAGAGTACAAAAGCTGTATCTAGCGAAGGAGGGACTGCAATGCCGGTCATGTCGTTGCCCAATGTTGCATACTCGTATATGCATACAATCTGAAAAACGATTGGCTGCGGCATTGATTCATCTGTTGTTGATTTTTTTCTTTGATGACTTATTCTACAATCTAATGATGTCGTTTATCAAATTTATTAGAAAAAACCGAATTCCTTAAAAAGAGACAAAGAATCTGCCTGAGAAATTATCAATAAATGACATTATTTAATTCATCTATAATGTAGTCACTTGTAGTCTGTACGATTAGTTGGTTTAAAGCTGAGGCGGTAGAAATATTGACAAAAAAAATACACTTTGACAAAAATTTCTGAAGTTGAGCTACTTTTTTTTGATATTATGTACATCTCGTAAGACCATGCCAATTCCGCGGGTCTGTCTGCCTGTCCGCTAATCCTTGACCCCGCTGTAACTTGGAAAGTACCGGTCGGATTTTGATGAGACTCTCACATGAGGTTGCTACTATGCTAAGGGCGAACAAACTTTATGGTTTTTCAAAATTGATCCAGTGTCGGCCCAGCTAAGGGCAAGAAAAGCAAAATAACAAAAATCGCTCAAACTTTGATTTTTGACGTTCCAAGGGATCGAGATCATTTTAGATAAAAAAAAGTTACGGGTAAGAGATTGGAGAGTGAGGGTTGTAACAGTTGCCTTTTATTGCCGATGAATCATATTTTTTTTGTTGTTGTTGTTGTCGCACAGGTTTAATTTGAAGTAATGCAGCAAGAACTTGAGAAGGAAGAAACAAAAGCTGATAATCTAATCTAATAATCTCCGTAGCATATTATTTTAATTCATAGCATATTATTAAATCAATTTTATTGACAAAAATGACTAGACCGGCCCATTGGCCATTTCCCAAGATAGGGCTGGTTTTTAACTGTGCATTTAGCTATATTTTTCTCACGTAATTCATAACCAAAATAAATAACACGCAGACATTTACCTATTATCATGTTTATTTGAAATAACAAACATAACACATGAATACCACGGAATAACTATAATTTTTAATTTGTATCCGTTGTTTTTCTTCTGTAGTCGTTTGGCTGCCTGTATATAGTAGTCAGCATCTTCCATGTCACTGAACAATTTGGGAACTGAAACCAAATATTTCTAATTATCAATTAAACATGGTCCATCCTGATCTATTTTATGATCCAAAAATTTCAATTATTACATTTAACGTACAGCAATCGCACTCCATTTTGATCATCTTTACAGTCTCTACCACTAAGTTTATAAACGTGTAGTCAATTTTCCATGCATTCAGGTAATTAATTGAAGAATTTACTCACCCTGATATGGACAATTTCTTCTTGTGTTGCCTAGTAATTTCCCTAGTTCACCATGAGTAATAATTTTAGTATTCATCTCCACATATTTTCGTAAATAACTCAGTTACTTCCATCCCACGCTAGATCTTCCACCGTCAAGAAATCAATTCAATCTCGAAATTTTCGCCTCGGGGATTTGTTTACATCCCAACAACAAGCCGGTTTGTCACTCCGGAGCTAAAAATAAATAAACAAATAAATAAATGTACATCTATAAATTGATATCACCTTCTGAATTAAAAACTATTTGTGTTGCATCAATATTATTACTCACCTATTGAACTATGTATTTCTTTTATAGTCAGATGAATTTATTATTGTTTTTTGAAATGTTCCAATGTCAAAGGCTGATGTCGCTGATGTCGAGGTACTATTCTGCGTACCCAACTACTTGCACACCTCGCTTGTTCCGCATAGTTGCTAATTTTATTTCAGAATTTCCTTATGTTTATTAATCAATCAAATTTATATGCACATATGACAGTGTTGCCACATTTATTCACGATACTTCCTTGAATTTATATTAGGAACCTTCTCATTTTGGGATTAGCCGACAACGTTTGGCTCTTAATGGTGAGGCGTACAACTATATCTGAAAATGTCAAGTCAAAAAAATTAAATTTTGGGATGGGACTTCCTTCCACTATCGGAGAGCCATCTTGTTCTGTTCCGCTAGTGCCAGAAGACCTGAAATTTTCCTCCTTTTTTGCCTGGGGCATCTTCGTTGGATTGTGGAAGAAAATTTCATAGATAATTTCCTGTGTCACTCCTGTTGTGAGTGCGTAGCATCCTTTTTTTTTGTCTACCCTTGGACCCGAGAAATTCTACAATTTGTAGGATCTTATTGTATTCAGCCGCACTTTTTGCCAGACAGAACCACGTGAAAAACCCTACCCGACATCATCTAGGGTTTTTATTTTGGGGGAATCTTCGCTACTGGAGATCCATTGACACGTTTTCTACCGGGGACCTCTTTCCGAACAGAGACACTTTTTCCACCATAGGGATTCTTACGTCATTGGTTTTGAAGCTTTCCTCGCCCATTTTAAATTAGTTAGTCAATAAGCTTTCGCATTAGGGGAGATCTCCTAGTTTGACTGGCTTGAATTTTTGTTGTTAGCCATTAGTAGATGTAATAAAATGTATTGATGTTGATTTTAGCAATTATTTACCCACACAGAAAATCTATTGTTTGTATGTATTTTTGTTTTTGTTTCTTGGGGTTTTGGGCTAAGGAGTGCCTTTTAACACCAAGGCGACTTCCAGTTTTGGCGGATAAAAACTGGTGGCGCCCCTAAAAAATACTCCCCCTACTCTCCGGTGTACCTGAGCATAGTGCCTAATTTGCCAACGCTAAACCACGGCTTTAGCCTCAGTAACCCCCTAGTTTTTTTTAAATCATCCATTGCCTCAATTGAGGGAAATAACTTTAACTTAAAATTAAAAAGTGATCCTATTTAAAAAAAAGAGCGCGGCAGGGTTATAGGGAATAAGGGCATCTCTCACTTTTTCGACAATAGTATACAGTTAAGTGGTAGAGTAGCCAGCTGGCTAAACTTCGCCTCGCAGTGTGGAGGGATTAATAAAGACATTATTATTATTATTATTATCTACGCCTCCAGTCGCGCACTTATTGGACATATTTCATTCATCATAGACTCCCCTGTATACTTATTTTTAATACTTAAGATGATGGAGAAATATTTCCAACCCTCGCGTGGCGATCATACCTTCCACTGTCGTACCATTGCATATGCGTAGCAGTCAGGCTTCGCTACTCGACTCGACTGGATATAGATCATCATCCATGCCACATAGTTCCGATCATGTGAGCCTGCAGGAATTTTCTTTAGGGAAATGTAGAGGACCATCCATCGGCAAGAGATAACCTTGTTTGAATGCGTACCTGTTCATCAAAGCTTTGACGGCGGGAGATAGTATATCTACTCAGGTAGCCAAGTCATAAATTGCCTCAACATCGTACATAAAAACATGCTGAATATGCACTTTTTAATTGTATGAGTCTTTTTGACTAACTCGGTCTATTACACATGTTTTGAGCTAATTTTCTTCTCAGAGGGGTCAACTTGTGCCTAACATAATCCTTTCTGAACTGTTGACAGCATTGCGTATGGAGTGCAGAGTCAACTTACTTGACGCAATTGTTTATACACACCAGGAAAAAATAAGCAAAATATACTTAATACCTTCAAATCGCACCAGTGAAGGAGAGACATCGTTATTGTATTGAAACGTGCTATTTCTACTTTCCATGGAATTTCCCATCATTAAAACCTTGTCACTCATTTGTGGCAGTTTGTCTGTTACATAATACTTGAACCCTTTCTAACTTGAAAAGTACAGCTTGGATTTTGATGAAATTTTAACCTAAGGTTACTAATATGCCAAGGACGAAAACGGTTTACTGTTTCAAAGGCTCTTGAGTATTTTCAACAATTTCCATAAAATGTCCTCCAATTCTCTGACAGACAAACTGATCTCTGATTCGAACTCAACTACCGCAAAAACCTTGATGAGATGACCTCGAAATCCTCATAGTGACTAATTGTCATCTGACTTAGTGTCTAGAAAAGTCTGAATGACAAATGCAGCTGCTAGATTTCTTTTGAAAATACCCTTGATATGACTTCAAAGTGTCTTTCAAATGTCTTCACAGAGACAAACAAACATCGGCGACCCCATATGCACTGATTATAGTGTTACCAGATGGGATGACCAAAAGTTCTGGGCGAAATTCCAATTCGCGATTTTGGTATTATAGTGGAGACAAATAAATATTTCGAATTGAAAAAGTTATGTTTTTAAGACAAAATACTTTGATGGAAATTTATGAGGTTTCAGGTTTAACATAATATATGTATGACAACTAATAGGTACATACTTATTTTCTACTTTGCCACAACTATTTGACAATTGAGTTCACCGATTCCACCAATTTGATGGTCTTTGGGGTAATTTTGAATTTCCGTAATTTTGAATTTGTGTGTTGTAATTCGTGGGGACAATTTGTATTTGCTGGGACTGTGGACAACATATACGAACAAAGTGTCGAGACAATTCTGATAAATCTCGACTATGTGGAATCCCTAAGTGAATTCGTATTCACTCGTGTGTGGTGTACATAATGTAGAAATTCTATTAATAGCCAGCTTTTTGGTGTTCTGGAGCACTGTACGGCGTAAAGAAAGTATTTCTTACGAGTTATAGTAAATCCACTCTGTACGAGCATGTCATTTATTCCAATTAAAATAACTAACTCATTGCTACCATGTATTTCCCTACGATAAGTAAAAAACTCCAATACAACTCGCTTGTGGGCGTTACGTTGGGTCGTTGGGTCATGGCCATAAATTTAATCCCTTAATCTAGTCGCTAGAGGGAGCTTAACTATTCATAAATAATGTCTATCGTCGGCACGTCGAGAGCTCGCCTCTCTGTACAGGACGTGGGTTCGGGTTTGGAATTTATTCGCCGGGAACTAATTTAGCGAAATAAGGAGCAATAAGCGCTAGCCCAGGTCAAATTTGATGGTTCAGCTTTGTAACTGTTCGTAATACAGCATTTATATCTAGTTTCAATATAAATCCTGATTACGTCAGGATCAGTATGAGTATCATTAGCTTGTCAGCCTGATCATAACGAGAAACTGTACTATGTTCAAGGAAAATAATAGATTTTGAGACCTATAGTACATTGTCAATTTAAAACCGTATATTCGGCACCGAACAAGATAAAATAAGTAAATTAAGAAAATACGTTTTGAAAACAAGTTTTTGTCTAGCTGTGTTAAAGTGAACTGGAAATTAAAGCTTAAGTTTTAAAATGAATCAATTAATTTAAATTTTTATTTCGCTTCATTAACAGCTGAATAAGAGCTTGTAATAAAGTATGTTTTATTTTATTTATTTTTTACTTTTTAGTATCTATGATGTCAAATAACTAGTTCGGTAGTTTTTATATAATTTTCATTTATGCCATTACTCCATAATGGTCCTAAAATTTGTATCTTTTAAAGTTGACGGTATATATCCTGAACGTGGTATATCTGAAAGTTTGTTGTTGTCTAGGTTTCAAATGCAGTCTCTAGAACTGAGAAGGGAGTGTGCATCAATTATGTTCTTGCATAAACTACTGCGCAATCAAATTGATGCTAATGTGATTGTTTCTCAAATAAACTTTAATGTTCCATCTATTCAAACTCGTACAATTAAAACATTTTATTCTGACAGGGCTCGCACAAATTTGTTTTGAAGGCACCCATATGTGTGAAACTTTTAATACAATATCAAGTTATTGTGATATACATGCTGACAGTTTGAACAGGAGTAGCTAGAAATTGCTTGGATAATTTATGATATGTTACTCCCCTGAGTGAAATATGTTTTTTTTGCTTCTTTTTCTTGCTTGTTTTTTTCTTTAGGTGAAATCACCTGCTTTTTATGTGTTTTCTGTTCTTGTTATTTCGATTTATCTTAGAATTGTCCTGTAAATGGTTTCCTTAACTGTTGGACAATAAACGCTATTTATTTATTGATTTATTTTATTTAACATTATAAAAGTTTGATAGATATAAGTCATATAACGATAAACCAATATTTTGCAGCGATCGCCATATGGGACTTAGAATGACCTTATTTCCTTATTTTATTGCTCTTACTTTTCATTTGATTCCCATATCATAATGGTGACCATGGAGATCGTCGCCTTTAAGCGGTGGCCGCCATATTGGATTTAGAATGTTGTCACTTTTTTATTATGTTTCCCTCATCAAGCCCATTTTATACCCATAGTATAAGAGTGACTATAGGACTTATAAATTGCCATTTTGCGATGGCCGCTATATTGAATTTAGAATGACGTCACGTTACTTGTTATGTTTCTCTCATAAAGGCCTTTGCTAATTGCGTTTCTCATAATGAAGTCCCCCTCATTTAATACCCGTAGGTATCATAGAGGCGGCTATGAAAAATGTGAATCTCTATTTCGCGGTGGCCGCCATAATGTATTTAGCATAACTTCGCTTTGCTTATTGTATTTCTCTTCTTCTATTTAGGCACGTCATAGGGGTGACTGTAAACAATGTATATCGCCATTTTACAGCAGCATTGGAATTTCTATGGCTTCACTTTGCTCGTTGTGTTTCTCTCATCAAGCCCCTTAATTTTATACCCATGTCAAAGGGGTGACTGTGGAAAATATAAATCGTCGTTTTGCTGGGGCTTTAGACTGAATTCACTGTGCTTATCGTATTTCGCTCATAAAGCCCTTTCATATTGGATTCAAATTGATGACAGTTGCTTTATTTTGTATTTTCACGTGAACCAAACGTGTGTACAGAATTTCATCTGAACTGATTAAGGTTAACTGGTTGCAAATTGAGTTCCAAGTTTGACCCACACATACATACAAACAAGTGAAGTTAAAAACAGCTTGCAAGTATGTTGGAAGTTCCACAAACTGTACGGGAAAATTGCTGTAGGATCAAGAAATATTAGAAAATTTGTTTTTAGTACTCATGCACCAAATTGTGGCTTCATAAACACATTTTTATTTATGTCTTGAGGAGTATTGAGCCTCAAAAAGTAGGGATCTTAAGTCTTTGTGATGTTGAGTTCTGGTTATACTCATGCATTTCTTACCTGCCATCCATGGAAGCGGAACGTACCGACTGCGATAAAAATACCAATTTTTAAATAAATCAATTTGAATATCATACGATCAGAAAAATCAATGTGATCTATTTCTTTCCGTTTGTTGGCCAATCTGTTTCCCAGTCTTTTGCTGCTTATTTATAGTCACAAAAACGGCTGCACGGGCCATAGTTGACAATAGCTCTGTTTTTTTTAAATCAGTGCAATGGCGGTGAAGTTATGTACAAGATACTGTAAATACCAGAACTGCATATTAGTCAAAGAGCACGATATTTGAAATTCATCAAACCTGATTTGGTCTTATGCAGTATCGTTTATTTTTGTCTCATTTCTCCACAGATATGCAAATCCGACGTTTGGTTAAAGAACATAATTGATAAACATGACGATTTTGACAAATTTCAAGCAGATTGATTCTACATCCCATACAAATAAGTCAGCTTTAAAAGAGAACTTGAGTAGACTTTAGTAGTTTTGCTTGCAGTTAAACCCGAAAGCAGTTAAGATCGTAATAATTGTAGACGGTTTTCTAATGACTTAATAATATTCAAACTTTTTCAATAGTTCTGAGATTCGAATATTTTCAAATGAATTCCAATCTACACATTCTGAGGTGTCCTACTTTGTTATGTTTTATGAACCTACAAATACATTTTGAACGGTTACGCATGATCTATCATTCAAACTACAGTAGCTTCTCAACGTACAAGTTCTGCTAGTGTTTTTAAACGGCCTGTGCAGCACATGCTCAGAGGAAGGCAAACTCGACTCTGCTTCTTGCAGTATCTATCAGTATTGTCGTAACAAGATCTACAAATAGTCCCCTGTTTGGTTGCTTAACACATTGATAAACATAGCGATTTTGAAGAATAGTATCAAGTAGGTTGACTTTGCTTGAAGCAAGATCTGAAATCAATTGAAGTCGTGATAATTTTAGAAAATTTTCCAATGATATAGGAATATTCAAAGTACCAAGAACAAAAACAGAAGTGCTTTATATTAGAGATAAGTTTGCTGCTTTAGCCCCTGTACTGGAGTAATGTGTTGTTTTAATCAAATGCCATTGAATGGTAAATTTTGAGTAGATCTAGTGTTACTTTTTATGTGTACGTTTATTCCTCAAACCAAATTTCAAGGAATAAGCGTACATATAAACTGAAGCCAAACGATGAGAAGGGAAATGAGGCGTCTTTAGTCATTCACGCACCAAGTGTGTCAATACAGTGTGTGGGCTATCAGGTGATTATATGTAGCGGAATCCAGCGGAAAAAGTTTAATTGGTAGAGATTATCAGATACTTCACCAATCTCCGCACAGTATTTTGAGTTCTTCAGACGACCATAACCACTTGTTTGATTTTCATTGATTTGTCTCCAGAATTACTAGACCCACATCGCACTGATGGGTCACTAATGAGCACGAAACAACGCTGTCTGCAGTTGGTCGTTGTTACAGAGACGTATGGGATGAGGATGAAGATCAACTTCGCAAGCCATTGGTAGGTGGCAACAAGCGATGATATATACGTTTATATTGCATTGTTTAGTACAGACATTTAACTCACTTGACTACCAACGCCTACCAAAGTGACAACGCTGTCTCAACACAATAATAATACCTATTGGTGGAAATATATACCTTCATCAGGTTTGTGCTACTCTTTGAAAATTATATAAGAAGTACAATGTACATCATATTTATCTGCAAACACTCGCACTTGTCGAAAAACAAATCAGAAATATGAAGATATGATTATCAAAAAAATTAACTTATGCCACGTGCACTCGAACAATGCACCTACAGACTACGAGAATTAGGAGACAAACAAATTCTTGACTGGCTCCTTCTACTTAGTGTGAATTCGCTCGTAGGTTAAGATCGTCAAAATTTTCGCCTACCTCCGCACATCATCTACTTAATCAAATGAGAGCTCACGCTTGACGGGTGCAAATGACAAACGTCGCCATGGTTTCCGTGGTGTCGCTTCGCTTCAACGAGCCTGCAACTTTAGGTAAGCCTTACTTTTATGTCCAGAACCTATCATTACGTCTACTCCAGCTTGTCCCATTCAACATGCAAAGGCAGTGCGAGTAATCAAGCAGAACCTAGCAAAGTTTTGTGAATGCAGCAAGTAAATGGACGCAGAACTTTAACATGCCCACAACAAGTCGACGCTGTCGTAACCGATGACGACGGCATCAGGAAAAGCGCCGCGGCAGCGCCGCGATGTCTTCACCAGACGCTGCCGACACGGCTGGAAGCGTCACTAACATGATTCCCTCTCGGCCAGATACCTGCTTACTATATTGTAAGATGGAAATTGTGAGGATTATGCTACCTACAGCTGGAGGGCTTAGGAGCATTGTCTACCTTACCGCAAACATATTTCCGGGATATCTCGCTTGATTGTCGACCGATCTTGATGCAGTTTTCAGCCCAATAATCAGATACAAATTTTTCACTTCGAAAAAAAACTTGTTTTTTTTGGTAGTCATTGTTCTGTCAAAAAAAATGATATCTCATAAGCCGTAACTTTTTTGTGGAATCTAGTAGTTTCCGAACAAGAAAACTATTTCATATAACCAATTTTCAAATTTGAGGCTTCCCCTTTCAAAATCAACTGAGAAAATCAGGAGCTACGAGCTATTACTTTAGCTATTACTTTAAACAAATAGAAAATTGTGGAAAATGGATCAATCCAGTGATTCGCGTCTATTATATGCGACTGCGGCAGGAGTGACCTGCGTTGTAGCTGCCCACATTAAAAGACGAGGTAAACAAATTTGGTGTCGAAAATGGATCAATGAGAGGGACCTGGGCATGGGTGTGCTCCATATGCTCAATAAAGAACTTATAGTGGAGGACCCATTGGCTTGCAGGAACTTTTTAAGGCTTTATAATGAACAATTCGTTTATTTATCTTTTGTCTTGTCTTAATTGAAGACAGAATATGAAGAATGGATACTGTTATGTGAAAGACTATCCCAGCATGAGTCAGGTATGTATGTATTCCAATTGATCTATTCAATGTAACTTTTAAGTACTTATTTTTATGCAGCTAAAATTAGGATAACACAAGTCCAGGTAACACAAGTCTCATACGATTCCAGGTTAGAAGTAACACTGAGATTCCTTGCAACTGGTGTATTATACAGCTCATTTATGTATCTACCTGAATACATGAAACGACCATATCTAGAATTGTAAACGAAGTATGTGAAGCTAGCATAGACACTTTAAAGCATACTTATCAAAAAGTAGGAAACTCATAGCTTGAGGTAACTCCTGAAACCTATGATATTGAAGTCTCAGGTTTTTGCCACCTCTTCCACACTTTCTCTGTTTATCCTTTATTATATTTGAGCACAGTACCACCGAACATCTAATTAGCACGTTTTCTCTTTCACAGTTGACAGAAAATAGAATTAAACCAGATTAGTTAACGAATAGTGTGCAGAATTTAAGGACACTCACATCCAAGACTCGTACTATAGGTAAGGCTTCCCTGGAGAGGAAAGTAGTAGCCCTGATCAATATAACAAAGTCATTGAGGGAATAATTGCAATATCTTTAGTATTGTTTCCATGAAGTGGATGGGAAAACGTAATAAGTGCCTAAACTCTATTGTCCAGGTGAAGGTCGAAACGTTAAAAGGAAGGTCACTTTGCTAAGCCTAATCTGGAATCTGAAAAGATAAGATCCGCTGAAGAGGAGCATAAAAGAAATATTGAATTAACACAACAAAAGTCTGATACGAAATATGAACTCATCAGGAAAGAATTGGTCACAAATTAAAAAAAAAAACAGAATGAGCGGCAGAAGTAACAATTGATGAAATAGGATATATAGTGCTGGGCAGTCATGCTACCGCAAATGGACACTAATCGTGAGCTGCAGCCGTGAACAATGGCACTCGATACCATAACACCCACACTGCGTTGAATATGCTGTTCGATGGAATATTGGACGTTCTTTCACCACGACTCCTTTTTACCCTTGCACGGACATCATGTGTGCCCAAACAGACCCTGGGCTCATTGCTGAACACGACTGAGTTCCATTCCATATTCCAGTCTCTCCCTGGCCCATACCAGTTAAAGCCGACGATGCTGTGGGATCAGAGGTAGTACAAGATGGGGACGGAGTGAAAACAGTCCAAAAGATCTTATTAGGCGATAAGCTGTCCTCATCGTTATGTTCATGTTGATGTTCATATTGTTCGGACCTTGATATGACAGAAAAGCCCTTACAAAAAAAGTACGGCTCGGAATGCGTTCAACATTTTATCAGCGTATACTTCCATGATAGCTAATATGTTTACAAGTTTTTTTCAAAATTCAATAAATAATTCTGGGTATTGCATTTTATATGTCACTTAATATATTTCCGTAGTATGAGTATCCGTCGATGCAATTTATTCTGCAACAGCAGTAGAATATGCGAGGTTCAAATTTGGCTGACATTATAATGTGTGCGAGATAGAAGCGCGAGAAGCGTGCAATATGTATGTTAGGAAGGATGCGCGGATAGCAACGCGGCTAGCCTCATCTGCGTCCGTGGCCTCGTCACTCGGGTTGCTGGGCAATCAGATGGTTCTACCTCTTTCTAACACACGTATTGCACGCTTCTTGCGCTTCTATCTCGTATACATTACGACGTCAGTAGTACATGGATTTCACTTTAAAAATGCTCTTATGTACTGGAGAAATTTTCCAATTTTTATCCATCCCAAAATTTGCAAGGTCCGTACCTCAAGGTTGGGGATTGGAGTGCTTTGAATCTGAATAGTTTCAATATTTTGACGATGAGGGTATTTGTTAGGGCTCTATGTCATCTCTTTTTTCGATTTGCGATTGACTTTTACATTGGTGTCGAATTTTGTGGATGATTTTTCCAAACTGGTACCTTCAAACGTTTAAAAGCTTTAGTCCGTATGATATGGTAATACAAATATAAAAAAGCATTTTTACATGGGTAACAAAATATAAGAAAAGAAGCATTATGCAACCTCTTAATA